AAATTGGAGTCTGTTCAGATTTGATCAGAGTCTGTTCAGTTTACATCAATCATTCAACAGGCAGCTTGGAGAGCAACTCCAGATCTAAATCGGAGTAATAACTGAACCATATCCACATCATATAAAAATCTTAATCAGCGAAAAGAGAAAACTAAGAAAACAGTGGCAAACTTCCAGATCTCCCGAAAACAAAACTGAACTGAATAGGGCTACTCGTTTGCTTAAAAGAGAATTACACAAATACAAAGATCAGGGCATAAATGAATTTCTTGAAAGTCTTACTGCGACGGATGACACAAACTACTCTATTTGGAATATTTGGAACTCTATTTGGAACTACTACACTATTTGGAAACTCTCTAAGAAACTTAAACATCAGATTAAGCATGACGGTCCCATTAGAAATAAAGACGGTGATTGGGCCAAGGCCGATGAAGATAAAGTAGAAGCATTCGCTAATCATCTCAGCCAAGTTTTTCAACCACACTCCAGAACTATCTCAAAGGAAGAAGAAGAATTCATTCACAAGATCTTAGATGCACCCTACCAGATGTCACCTCCTATAGAAAATATCAAAATTAACGAAATAAAAGAGTTAGTTAAACATCTCAATACTAAAAAAGCTCCAGGGTATGATTTAATATCGGGAAAAATCTGCAAAAATTTACCCGAAGAAGGATTTCGGTTGGTTATGTACATATTTAACGCTATACTAAAGTTAGGCTATTTTCCGTTTCAATGGAAAATGGTACAAATTATTCTAATACCAAAACCAAATAAAGATCCACAAGAACTATCATCCTATCGTCCAATCAGTTTGCTTCCCATTATCTCTAAGAAATTTGAGAGGATACTCCTTCAGAAAATGAATTCTATAATCAACAGACAAAAGTTAATACCTGATTATCAGTTTGGATTCAGGCAACAACATGGAACAATTAAGCAGGTACATAGAGTTGCCAAAGTAGCAAGAGATGCGATTGAAAAGAAAGAATACTGCACTGCAGCCTTTTTGGATGTCTCACAAGCATTTGATAAAGTATGGCATGAGGGGCTGCTATCTAAAATAAAAACTCACTTTCCTTATCCTCTGTATGCTCTTCTGAGATCCTATCTTACCAATCGATATTTCCAGGTCAGATGCAATGAACCAGTATCAAACATATCTCCAATTCTATCGAAAGTACCTCAGGGTAGTATATTGGGACCAACTTTATACTTACTCTATACGGCAGATATTCCCACAAGAGTAAACAGCACAATCGCTACCTATGCAGATGATACTGTGATTATGGCTTCTAGCTCGGTTCCTGTTACAGCCTGTCAAAATTTACAAATTCATTTAAATGAACTAGAGAAATGGTTAAAACTGTGGCGAATTAAAGTAAATGGCAGCAAATCAGCACATATAACATTTACTTTACGCAAAGAGAGTGTACCATCTGTGTGTATAAACAATACCATATTACCAAAAAAAGTGATGTTAAATACTTGGGAATACATTTTGATAGCCGACTAAATTGGGGGAAAGCACATCTGGACAAAGCGACTGCAACTAGGATTAATATACAGAAAAATGTATTGGTTCATGAATAAAAAATCCAAAGTAAGTCTACATATTAAATTATTACTGTATAAATGTGTTCTAAAGCCAGTTTGGACCTACGGTATACAGATATGGGGTATGGGGCATCTAATTCTCACTTACTGAAACTTCAACGTTTCCAATCTAAAGTTTTGAGACATATTACCAATGCACCGTGGTACGTGCCCAATTATGTTATACACCGAGATCTTCAGATCCAAAATATTAAAGACACCGTTGTCTCACTCAGTGGCACTTACAAAAAATAGACTACTAAACCATCCAAATACACTTGCACAAGACCTACTTAAGCGACCAAGGAGAGGAAGACTAAAACGACGTGATCCTCTAGACCTCTCTATACCTTTATATACATAAACGTATAAATCATTTTATAGCTACAACTGATACTACCTGCAACTTATAATTGTGTGTGTTGTTATAATTTTAACTATTGCTATTTTTTTTAATATGTTAGTAAAATGTCTTTGTAAATTGTTATTTATATTTCAAATATTTATATATATTAGAAATTTATCTTAAGGATTTCTGTCACTGGACTGATCTCCCCTATGTTAATTACTTGATAAACATATTGATTATTGTTTTTTTATATTTGTAGAAACAGATTTCAATAAATAAAGGATGTAAAAAAATAAATAAGACCAGAAACAGACTCAACGCAAAGGCTACTGGAAATAGCAGAGATGAGAGTACTGAGAAAAATTACGGGAAATACGCTGAGAGACCGAAAGAGAAGTGAAGATATTACAAGAAAATGTAACGTACAGTATATAAATGAATGCACACGAATAGAAAAAAAATGGAATAACCACATAAACAGAATGGAGGAGATCCATGTCGTCAAAATAGGAAGAAATAAGTCACCAATCCGCAAGAGAAGTATCGGACGAACGCGCAAAAGATGGAGTGACAATCTTTTATAGAGGTATTAATCCGCAAATAAACAAGCAAAATTTCGTCATATTATTCCGTCAATGAACAAGCAGGATTGCTTATAAAGAGGAGGAAGAGAACCAAATCGGTTTTTGCTGTTATAATATCCAAAATTTGGAAAAATATTCAATAAATTAATACTAAACATGGATTTCAAAAGGCTAAAATTTTTCCATTTTGCAACCCATTGAAAGTTATGGACCAAAAGCATATAAACGTTGGTGTACTTTTCAAGAACGTCAAACAGATGTAGCTACATCCATTTATAATGCAGCAGATCAAACACAAACAGACATAGTACCCACAATAACCACAATCGCAAACATAGGTTATATCATAGGCAGAAAACGTTTGAAGAGTTTCTTCTGGAGTAAATAAAACAAAGATCAAAAACTACCCCCGGAAGAAAAAGAATCTGCGCTGGTGCGGAAGTGATCACTTCAGAAGACGCTGCTGCTAAACTAGAAAAAATCCAAAACCAGCGGCTTGAAAAGCTCTTCAAAATAAAACTGTTCAGTTTACTAGTTCTCGCTCAAAAATGCTACGACCAACAGAAAGATATATTTATATGCTTTATAGACTTTTAAAAAGCATTTGATAGAGTAAGACACGATCTACTATTAGAACGTTTGCAAGAAGTCGGTTTAGATGGAAGACATCAAATTCTTAAAAACTTGTACTGGAACCAAAACGCCAGAGTTAGGATCGAAGGTTCCACATCCGCAGAAGTAGAAATTAGGAGGGGAGTTAGACAAGGATGTGTTCTGTCGCCTCTGCTGTTTAATCTTTACTCCGAGTCTCTATTTAAAGAAGCATTGGAGGATTCCAAGGATGGAGTCAAGGTGAATGGCGTAAATATCAACAGTATCAGATACGCCGATGATACAGTGTTAATTGCAGATTCCGACTCAGGTCTACAACGACTCATCGACAAGACCAACTCGACCTGTGAGCAATTTGGTATGAAAATAAACATTAAAAAAACCAAAGTGATGTCAATCCGAAAAAACCAAAACGTACCTCAACCTTGCACAATAAATGGGCACATCTTAGAACAAGTCAATAGATTTAAGTACCTGGGATATTGGATCGATAGCAGCCTAAATCCTGATCAAGAAATAAGATCGAGAATAGAACAGGCTAGAAAATCTTTCGAAAAAATAAAAAAACTGCTTTGTTTTTATAAAAACTGCATATAGACTATTCTATATGCAGTTGAAACGTGGACCCTTAAAACATCAACCGTAAATAAATTGGAGGCCTTTGAAATGTGGATCTACCGGAGAATACTCAAAATTTCATGGACATCGCATACCTCAAACGAAGAAGTGCTGCATAGAATAGGCAAGGAAAGACAACTTTTTAACACAGTAAAAGTTAGAAAAACATCATACTAGGCCACATACTGAGAAATAATAATTACCAATATGCCCAACTTATAGTGAAAAGAAAAATCGAGGGAAAGAGAGGCCTAGGAAGGAAAAGACTACCGTGGCTCAGAAACATCCGACAATGGACAGGGCTAAATTTTGAACAGCTAATAAGAACAGCTGAAGATAGAGAAGAGTAGTAGCCAACCTCCATTGAGGAGAGGGCACTTTAAGAAGAAGAAGAAAACATTTCGAGCAATTCTACCATAGACGAAGTGGAAGAAATGGTTAAAAAAAAGTATCTCAATCAAATACAACTACCGTTGACAAAAATACATGTGGGTGCTTGGATTGGGAAATATACAGTAGATTGGGAAATATACAGTAGATAAAAGGGGAAATAGTACGTTACATTTAATACATTTAATGTGGGTTAGTAATGTTTTTTTTAGTGCAAATAAATTTTTTTTTGTAGCATATATCAAGGCTAATTATTTACTCTTACCTCATCAAATTTGCTTATACTCTGATAGTAAAAATGTGCCTCAGACCCTAATGGAGTAACTGTAACCCATGAACCGCAAAAAAGTAACAAAATTAAATTGAAAGGTGTCATTTGCTTATATGTTTGTGTAGCTGTTAGTTAATGTACATATCTTCAGTAATTTGCCAAACATTAGTCAGATTTACATATTTTTCGGACAATTCATTTTAAATATGAACTACTTAAATTCACGGTTCCATTTAAACCGAAAGACCTTAAAAATATTATTTACTAAAACTATAAAACTGTTAAAATTTAATGTGTCTAAAAAAACACTTCATCTCTAACATATCTAGTAAAAAATGCTTCAAGACATCTAAGAAAATTAATTAGCCCTATTAATTCAATAACGAGGAAATCAAACTCCTGTTTGGGAACAAATTAAAATTTTTATATTTTTACAGATAGAATTTACAGATTTTAATAAAGGATTTCTGTTCATTTTTAAAAAATAAATCGATCAGTTTGTACCCAATTCGTTTTTAAAAAGTGTTTTTTACAGTTTACGACATTGAAAAAATAAAAAAATATAATTTGTACTTACTTCTTACGGATATTTTCAATATAATCCGCAATATAGTCAACACTGGCTTTACCGAACTCTCGGAACGATTCAACATCCATCTTATATTCCACAGTTCATATGATACTGAATTCTGATTGTAAAATCTCTTCTTAGAACATTAATAAACTTTCTCTGGTTAAGTCATCCTTAAAAATTCGTGCTGGGCAGGCCAATATAAAGTAACTCAACGTAAGAATTAGTTGATTACGTAAGACATTTCTTAAAAAAAATTGCTAAATTATGTATATGTTACTTAAACTTGTTTATACTAGAAGGATAAAGTTGTTATTGTTTACAATAACTACAATTAGGAAATTTAATATATATATTTAGTTGTTCTTATGAAAATTATTTAATTTGAGCTTTTGACCACTGCATAAAGACAATTGGTTTGACACAGATCTTTAAAATTATACGGTTGCCAAAATAAAGCTAAATTAGCTGTAGCAAAATATTAAATAGAAATAAAGGTATAAAAATATAAATGCAACTATACATTCAAAATCATGCTTACAAATTACAAAATATCAGGGAGATAGTTTGGAGAAAACTCCATTAAATGTGGAGGTGCTTCTGTGACTAATCAAATATATAAACAAATCCCTGAAGAGTGATGTATTGGAATCGTTTGCCCGCTACACAAAAAGGGTGACCAATTGGAATGTAGAAACTATAGGGGAATAACCCTCCTTAATACAGCATACAAAATATTTTCGAGGATCATATATGGTCGCCTAAGTACATATTCAGACGGGGAATATCAAAGTGGCTTTAACCCTGGTCGATCAACAACAGATCAGATCTTTGTGCTAAGGCAAATACTGGAAAAAACCAATGAATTCAATATCGATACATACCATCTTTTTATAGACTTCAAATCTGCCTATGATAGTGTCCTAAGAAATAAATTGTATGAAGCAATGAATGAATTCCACATCCCCGATAAACTGATAAGATTGGTTAAGGCTACAATGCGTAATGTGGTTTCAAAGTCGAAATACAGGGCGAACAATCACAGGCGTTTGGAACGCATGTTGTGCTGCGACAGGGAGACGCGCTGGCGTGTCTCCTTTTCAACATAGCACTGGAAAAGGCGATCAGAGATGCCCGAATAGACAACAGAGGAAATATTTTTAATAAATCATCCCAAATTTTGGCATATGCAGATGATGTGGACCTAGTTGCCCGCACAACACGCAAGCTAGAAGAAATGTATACCACCTTCTCAAATGCCTCAAAATCTATGGGCCTGCAAGTAAATGAGGAGAAAACTAAGATGATGGCATCAACACCCAACAATAGAGTCAGGAACATCGATCCCCAATTTACGGTTGATAACTCTACCTTTGAAGTGGTTGACAAATTCACATACTTAGGCTCCCTGATCACCAAAGAGAACGCCATAACGGAAGAATTCAAGCGAAGGATAGTAATGGCAAACAGATGCTATTTTGGACTGAGTAGACATATGAGAAGTAGAAACTTAAGCCAAAAAACAAAAATAACTATATACAAAAGCCTTATACAGCCAGTGTTGACATTTGGTGGTAAAGACGTAGTATCTCTTATAAGAATAGGAAAAATAAGATGGGCAGGAAATCTAGCAAGATCACAGCAGAACAACCCTCCTAGAAGAATCCTTATGTCACAACCCGTGGAAAGCATAAAAAGGGGTAGGCCAAAACTCAAATGCAAGGATGGTGTAGATGAATATGGTAGAAAGATAGGCGCAGCAAACTGGCAACGGTTGGCAATGGATAGGACTGCCTGGCGTAATAGACTTGGGAAGGTCGAGGCTCTTTCATAGGGCTATAGCACCATTGATGATGATGATGTAGTTTGGAGAAACGTGTTGGCTTTTGTGTTACTTCATGGTGTAGGAACGTATGGAATATATACTGTATATTGTTAGGACGAGTTAAGATATTCACCATTGCTTTTAATATTTTATTTGCTGTATTTTCGGGTCTCAGAGTAACAGCTGGAGCGCATAGGCTATGGGTACATCGGACCTACAAGGCCAAATTTCGCCTTAGATTGCTTCTAGCATTTTTCCACACAGCAGCTCTACAGAATGACATTTACGAGTGGGTTATGCCGGGTCCAGACCAAACAGACAAAACAAAAACATTCATGTTTCGCGACAAAGTGGCGACAAATCGAAAACATTTGTTGAGACTGAACAATTTTGTTTTGTTTGCAAATTTGAAAACTTTTTCAGGTCGAGTCTCAGGTCGGTAAAGATCAAAAAGTCTGTGTTTTGTCTGTCTATTTGACGACAAGTTGTCGGTGCAGTGTGGACGCGTGTGCGTGCCAAAACGAGTTCAGCAGTCGGAGAAATAGAATGTACAATTTTTATCAAAATTAAGTGTATTTTTCTGTTACTTATTCTCAACACAAATGTTCACTCAACTCCATCCAACTGCAACCCACAACATTTGTACTCAAATCCACCCAGCACTGACACACAACATTCATACTCAAATCCTTTCAGCATTGACACACGTTCATACTAAACTCCTCCCAGCATTGACACACATTTATACTCAAATCCACCCAACACGCAACATTCATACTCAAATCCACCCAGTGCTGACCCACAAAATTACTACTTAAATCCACCAAACACCAACACACAACCTTTATTTTCACATCCACCTAGTATTGACACAGAGCTTTCTCAGTATTCAGATCAAGAAAATGAACGAAATTAATGATGAACTTTTTGAATGTAAAAACAAGTAGACTCGTCATTATTTTGCATGTAGTATGTACCTATCGTCAACTTCTTTTTTATTAAACATTTCACCAATAAATATGGAGTTTATTTTAAGGGATATTAACAAAAAAATAGTAATGAAAAAAGTTTAACATACCTGTACATAACCACTAAGACTGTTAATTAAAGCTTTACATACTTCAGGTATTATTACAGATATTGATCGCTTTGATACTTTTGAAAGATACATTAGGCTGTGGTAGGAATCACCTGTTGCTAAATATCTTAAAGTGATTGCTAACCTTTCTGTTACACTCATAGCATTTCTAAAGTTAGAATGTCTTTTTGCAACTGCAAGACCAACAAGGCATATTAGATTCTCAAAATCTTCGGTGGACATTCTTAAAAATTTTTGAAGCTTAATCGAATTTTACCACTTAGTCCAATATCATCTGCTCGCAGCTGAACTAACAATTTGTCTATCGAACAACTTTTTCGCATTTTTAGGCTTGGTCTAATCCAAAAACGTTTGGGTTTTCTTTTAGCAACCTGGGATGATGACGAGAGCAAAAAAAACTTGCGGCTAGCAATAAATCTTCAGTTTAATTTTTTTCTTGATTAAAAACGCCACATGGCTAACCAACACTAATCACAACAACAACGTCACCAACTGAATTTGTTTTTTTATTTTGTTGTTCTGGTGTGGACAGTTTGTCTCAATTTTGTTTTGTCTTTTTTCCACATAATACCAGCAGAGGGTTCTTCTTCTCGCACATAGGATGGCTAATGCTTAGAAAGCATAAGGACGTCTTGTAAAAAGGAAAGACTGTAAACATGAGTGACGTAGAAGCGGTTCCTATAGTTATGTTCCAGAAAAAATATTACGTATTTTTGGTAACGATGTTGACTTTTTTTATTCCTGCACACATTCCATGGTACTGCTGGAAAGAAAATTACTTACTAGCCTGGTACATGTGCATATTTAGGTATGCTTGGTTGCTTAATATCACTTGGTTGGTCAATAGCTCAGCTCATATTTTTGGAACGAAGCCATACGACAATACCATCGGACTCACAAAAAACAAATACGTTTTAGCTCTGGGCTTCAGAGAGGGCTGGCACAACTACTATCACACCTTCCCCTGGGATTACAAAGCAGCCGAATTAGAAAAGACTATAAGCTAAACTATACAACGGCAGTATTAGACTTCATGTCACGAATAGGACAAGCCTACACAACTTGAAAACTGTGGCCCGAACGGGAGACAGATCCTGGACAAATGGTAAAGTAGAGGGAGAATCGAATAAAGATCATCACCATCACACGCACGAAGAAAGTGTGTGGGGTTGGGGGGATAAAGATATTGACGAGGAGGAGATACGTGATGTTAGGGAATTCAATTATCTTAAAGAAGATTAGTTAGAAGGTAACGTCGATTCCAAACAAACAACAAGCTATAACAATACATTCTATCTATGAACCAAAACTGAAACAATACTTTTAAGCTATAATAACCTAGATGGAAGTATCAAAAATTTAATATAATAACTAACAGGAAAAAAATAATCAAAGGCATCGAAGTACTAAACAAATTTTCAATAGGAAGCGACCTCAGATTAATCCAAGCTTAATACTAAATTGAAAAGAACAAAGATAATGCTTAAAACATGAAAAAAGAAATGGATTCCTCCAGAAAACAACGACCTGTATGGAGATACACTAACCTCACATATACACGACTTGCAAGATGAAATAGAAGAAGTAGATCAAGCAAATGATGGAATAAAGAAGGCTCTAAAAGAAACGGAAAGGGAGTGCTGCCCTACCGTTCTGACCCATAAAGAAAAACTAAGCCAAAATATCAAAGAGCTAATAGGCAAAAGAAGACAGTTGACGTAAACGCCACGACTCTGCTTGCCAAACCAAAATTTTAGTATTTATTTAATTTATTCGTCAAAATCATCTTAAATCCAAACAAATACCTTACAAACGAGGTATCACTTGCCATAAGGTCCTATTTAAATCATCTGTCACAGTGACACTGTAACGTCATCTGCCACTATTACGTTATTTATTATGACTAGTTAAGAAGCTTACGTCTGTTTATTACGTTCCTCCAATTTCACAAGTATAACCATTCAAAAGATACGAGGGGGAAGAGATTTTTGAGTAGCACTGTATATTATAACTTTTAGTGACTACTTCTGTAATATGAAGAATTAATTAATGTTAAGAAATAAACAAAAAAATATGTTATTGGAATTACGTTTTTCAGCAGAATATTTATTACGATTTCGATACACATTAAGGTCTAATTTATTTGTTTATCTCTAGATTTT